TTTGAATACCCAATTCATGTAACAATTGTTTAATTCACATCGAATCTGCCACGGCACTTGCAACAGCCCGATACTCTGTTTCAGCTCTAGAACGTGAGACGGTGGGTTGCTTCTTAGCCGACCAGGGTAAAATATTGTTGCCCAAGAAAATTGCAAAGCCAGTGGTCAATCGTCTCGTGTCTTGGCAACCTGCCCAATCGGCGTCTGAATATGCAACTAAAGAGTTGTTGTGTCCTTTGTATATTTGAAGACCATAGTTAATCGTCCCTTTGAGATAGTGAAGGATGTGTTTAACTGCTTGTAGATGAACTTCTCTTGGTGCTTACATATGTCGGGGCAGTTGATTAACGGCATAAGATACGTCAGGCAGTGTAAAAGTTAAGTATTGTAATGCCCCTACAATACTTTTATAGTGTCGTGGATCATCCAATAATGGGCTATCCAATGATGAGCTCAATGAATGTTTGAGTGTTGTTGGAGTTTCAATTGGTTTCAAAAACTGAATCCAGATTTTTTTAACAAATTCTCGGCATATTTAGCTTGATCCAGAAACATCCCATCTGAATTGTATCTGACGTGTATGCCAAGGAAATAAATGAGCTTTCCTAAGTCAGACATAGCAAACTCAGTTTTAAGAACCTATATAATATGTTGCAACAAAGAATAAGATGATGATGTTAATATGATATCATCCACATATAATAAAGGGATGACTATGTCGGCCCCATGTTTGAGTATAAACATCAAACTATCAACTCGGTTACAAATAAATCCATGTAATTTTAGAGAATTTGTGAACTGCTCAAACCAAGCCCGTGGAGCTTGTTTGAGCCCATAAATAGCTTTCTTCAATTTGCAAATATAGTCTAGATAATCTAGATGAATAAACCCCTTGGGTTGTTTCATAAAACATCTTCAGGTAAACACTCATGCAAGAAAACATTTTTAACATCAAGTTGATGCACATGTCAGCCATGTGAAACGACCAATGAAAGTAGCGTCCTTATCATTGTGGTTTTACAACCGGGCTATAGGTTTCATCATAGTCAATACCTTGTTGTTGAGCAAAGTCTTGGGCCACCAATCGGACTTTATACCTTTCTAAGTGCCTATCAGCTTTTAATTTTATTTTGAACACCCATTTTGACCCAATAATATTGAAATGCTGAGGGGGCGGGACTAGAGTCCACGTCGCTGTTGCATTAAAGCATTATATTCTTCAGATATTGCTTTCCTCCAATTTGTATCCTTATTTGCCTCTGTAAAACATGTTGGTTCCTTTGGGGTAAGGTTGGTGTTTGGGTGAGAGTGGGTTTGGTGAACAATTAGAGATTTAAGCACTTTAGGTTTGTTGTTGCCAGTTTGGGAATGTGTTGACATGAGATGTTTGTGGTTGGGTTGTTTCGGCTTGGTTGGATTTGTTGGCAGTTTGACTGGTATAGATAAAGATGGAGGCGATAGTGGCGAACACAGGTCATCTTGTGGCGTTGCGTTAGGTTGTAATGGCAAGGTGGTTGAGTCATAGGCGGAAGCTGATTCTGGATGAGGATGGGCTAAAGTGGCGTGAGGCAGGCCACTTGTGACGGGTGGTTGGGCACTTGTGACAGACAGCTTAGGGAGAGTGGGAAAAGGAGGCAGTGCTTGGATAAAATTAGGAAAGCCAACAGACTTATCAGTTTTAGTAGATAAAGAATTAAAAGGAAAACAAAATTCTAAAAAGTAACATGTCTAGAGATGTGTACCACTTTTCTCTTTGGATCAAAACATCTGTATCCCTTGTGGTTATCTGAATATCCGATAAAGACACATGGTACTGATCTTGCTTCCAATTTATTTGTTGCTTTGGCCGTTAAGTTTGGATAACAAAGACTGCCAAATACCTGTAGATGACTATAGTCAAGATTCTTGCCCATCAATTTTTCCATTGGAGAATAATATTTCAGTGATTGCGGTGGAGTTAAATTATGAACACGCACTATCGTTTTTATTGCTTCTATCCAAAACTCAGGTGACGTAGAAGCTTCTAGCAATATAATTCGAACAGTCCCAATCAAAGTCTTATGCACCCTTTCAGCAGCGCCATTTTGCTGTGACGTTTAGGTACATGAAAATTGCATATGAACCCTCTGTTGAACTGCAAAAGTCTTAAAATTATTACTAGTAAATTCTCCACTATTGTCACACTGCAAAATTTTAATAGAACAACCAAATTGGGTGAGAATAAAACGATGAAAATTTTGAAATTGCTCAAAGACCTCACTTTTATTTTTAATTGGAAATAACCACACAAATATAGAGAAGTCATCTATAAACACCATGCAAAAAATAAAAGAATCAATTCAATTTTTATTTTTGTTGTTATTAGCCTAGTGGAGGTAACCACAAAGTTGGTGAGGTATAATCGATTTTGTTATTCCTCCTTCCCATACAGTTGTTAGAATTTTGTTAGGTTTTTGTTAGAATTTGGTTGTATTTTTCCTATAAATTGACACCTTATGGTGATGGAAATGATAAGCAGAAGTAGAATTTTTATTCTCTAAAACTTCATAGTATCAGAGCATACCTGATCCAAGAGAATCATCCCTGCTTTGCCGAAGTCACAAATGGCCACAGGTGAGCTTCTGTCTTCTCCACCCGAGGTCTCCTCGGGTTCCTATCATCACACACTTATCAACAACGGTGTGGGTGAAATGTCTTCGTCCTTTATCACAGGACACAAATTAAATGGCAGCAATTACCTTCAATGGTCGTCATCCGTTCTGCTGTTCATCCGAGGTAAGGGGCGCGACGAATATCTCACTGGCGAACTCATACCTCCTCCCGCGACTGACCTGAATGCTCATACATGGAAGATCGAAAACAACATGGTCATGTCGTGGCTCATAACTTCAATGACTTCAGAAATTGAAGAGAATTTCCTCCTCTATGAGATCGCGCATGAGATAGAATCGACTCTGCCATATTTGAGATAGAATCGACTTTTCACGGTCTTCGGCAAGGTGAGTTACGCGTAACCCAATATTATAATGCTTTGACCCGCAGCTGGCAGCAATTGGATATCTTCGAAGAGCATCGATGGAGCTGTCTTAAAGATGCGAAAATAAATCGATTGTTGAATAGAAGCGAGTCTTCAAATTTCTACTAGGATTGAACAAAAACCTCGATGAGATTCAGGGACGCATGCTGAGTATCAAGCCATTGCCGAGTCTTCGTGAGGCCTTCTCTAAGATTCGGCGAGAAGAAAGCCGAAGGAAGGTCATGCTGGGAGACGCCGATCTCACCCACCAGGCCGAAAATTCTTCTGCAGTCACAACCCGAGCACTGGATGCTCGTACGAAGAAAACGAGACCCTGGTGTGACCACTGTAGGAAGCTCGGGCGCGCACGCAAAAAGTGTTGGAAGCTTCATGACAAGCCGAGTGATTGGAAGCCTTCCAAGCCAGAAAACTCAAACAAGCACTAGAGAAATCACGTGACTGCTGAAGAAATTCCACCTGGTGTTGTGGAGAGCAGTCCCTTTAGTCCTGAATAGCTGGAAGCTCTCCAGCGCATGCTGTCTCAGAAAAGTTACCCGGTTAGTGCTTCAGTAGCACACAAAGGTAATATTTTTGGTTTGTTTGCTTACTCAGAAAAAAAGGTAGGTTTGGGTTGTAGGCTCAATAGCATATGATCATATGACTGGAGATGTCTCAATATTTTAAAAATACAACAAGTGTAAAGAAGATTATTCAATCAGAATTGCTGATGGGTCCCT